CCAACATCTTAGCCCTCCATGTTTCTGGTCCCCCATGTGGCTCTAGGTTTTCCCAGTCAATCTCTTTATGATTGAAATCCCTCATCATAAGCAATTTTGTCCTACCCATATGAGCCCTCCTGGCCACTTCAGCTGGGTGTATCCAACATTGCCCTATTGCACACATCATACTCTTCTCTTGTTCTCCTGCTGTTAAGTGGTGGGTTATACATCACTGCTATCATCACCTTTGGACCACCAGTCTGAAGTGATCCTACAATGAAGTCGTCTTTTTCCCTTATTTCCATTCCTCCCATCTCCTCAAAACTCCACTGGTTTTTTTATGAGCAATGCTACTCCTCCCTCTCCTCTGTTCTCTCTGTCTTTCCTCATAATCTGATATCCAGGTGGAAAAATTGCATCTGTTATCATCCCTGAAAGTTTTGTCTCTGTTAGTGCTATGATATCAGGTGATGCATCAATGATGCATTCTTGCCACTCTTCACTCTTATTTGTTATTCCATCTGCATTGGTGTACCATACCTTTAGCTTCCTTTCCATTACTGTATTTTGGGAGATGGAAGAGGAAGGTGCAGGCTGGGAGGGTGGGAGGCAGGGCACAATATTATGGAAGGCTGCTGTGATTGTGAAATTAGTGCTTAGGGGGATGGTGGCTATGGAGTGAGGTTTCGTTTCTGTTTACTGTGTTTGGTTGATATGTGGTGACAGGGGTTGAGAGGTTTCTGTAAGCATTTGTGTTTGATGTTCCCCCAAAGTTTGAGTTTTCCTCTCTGTCATTGCCTGTCCTATCTCTCTTTCCTTCCACTGGTTCTGTCTTGCTCTCACTTTCAGTTGTTCCCTTTCTTTTCGTGTTCTGTCTCGATTGAGGAACACTTTTTGATAATCTGGAGAGTCCTTTAACAGTGGTTTCTGTTGTAGTATCCTGTTCCTTACCACATCCGTCTTGAATGTCAATCTGATTGGTCGATTTTTTCCCTCGAATATCCCCCAAGTCTGTGAAAATTTTCTACTTGAGACATGTCCCTCTCTCCTGTTATTGCAATGATGTTCTTAATCTCTGTTTTCTCCCAATGCTTTCTTTCATCATAGGTCTGCCCTTCAGCCTCCTGAAGTGCATGAATAATTATTGACCTCTCCCTCTCCTCTTCCCATTTCTTTTCCCTCTGTATCTCTGGATCTGATTTAAACATCTCCTTTGCTGTTTCCCTAATCATCTCCCAGACACCATGATGGCCTGAAATTACTGCTGCAAAAGACTGCTTAGATCCATCCCCTCCTTCAGTTGCCTCGCTGCCTGCTGATGTTCCCATTTTCAACCATTGCTCCTTTCGGACCTCATCTTTAGATCCTTCTTCAGCACATCCATTTCTTCCTCCAATCTCTGTATCTTTGCCTCAGCTACTATAGCTCGTGATTCCCACTTCTTGCTCTCTGCAGATATTTGCTCTAACATGTTATTGCAAAGCTCATTTAACCTTTTCTCCCATTGTTGTTCCATTTTGTTCTTGAGCCATTCTTCCCATTCTTCCTTTTCCGGCCAGCCATCATCGGTTCCCTTGCCTTTACGTCTTCCCTTTCGAGAGCCCATTTTGTTTTTATCTTGTTGGGATGTTCTAGCTGCTTCAGTTTATCATAAAAATGTGTGTGTGTGGTGGGGGATTTATGAGTTAATATGTTAGGTTAGGTTAGGTTTGCGTGTGTGTGTGTGTGTGTGTGTGTGCATGTGTGCACTCATATAACTGTGGTTGCAGGGGTCGAGACTCAGCTCCTGGCCGTGCCTCTTCACTGATCACTACTAGGTCCTCTCCCTCTCTGCTTCCTGAGCTTTGTCATACCTCTTCTTAAAACTATGTATGGTTCCTGCCTCCACTACTTCACTTGCTAGGCTATTTCACTTCCTGACGACTCTATGACTGAAGAAATACTTCCTAACGTCCCTGTGACTCGTCTGAGTCTTCAGCTTCCAGTTGTGACCCCTTGTCCCAGTGTCCCCTCTCTGGAACATCCTATCTCTGTCCACCTTGTCTATTCCCCGCAGTATCTTGTATGTCGTTATCATGTCTCCCCTGACCCTTCTGTCCTCCAGTGTCGTCAGTCCGATTTCCCTCAATGTTTCCTCGTACGACATTCCCCTGAGCTCTGGGACTAGCCTTGTTGCAAACCTTTGTACTTTCTCTAACTTCTTGACGTGCTTGACCAGGTGTGGGTTCCAGATGGTGCTGCATACTCAGTATGGGCCTAACATACACAGTGTACAGTGTCTTGAACGATTCCTTATTAAGGTATCGGAACGCTATTCTCAGGTTTGCCAGGCGCCTATGTGCTGCAGCAGTTATTTGGTTGATATGTGCCTCCGGTGACGTGCTCGGTGTTATGGTCACCCCAAGGTCTTTCTCCCTGAGTGAGGTGTGTAGTCTTTGTCCACCTAGCCTATACTCTGTCTGCGGTCTTCTTTGCCCCTCCCCAATCTTCATGACTTTGCATTTGGCAGGGTTGAATTCGAGAAGCCAGTTTCTGGACCACATGTCCAGCCTGTCCAGGTCTCTTTGCAGTCCTGCCTCATCCTCATCCGATTTAATTCTTCTCATCAGCTTCACATCATCTGCGAATAGGGACACTTCAGAGTCTATTCCTTCCATCATGTCGTTCGCATATATCAAAAATAGCACTGGTCCTAGAACTGACCCCTGAGGGACCCCGCTCGTCACAGGCGCCCACTGTGATACCTCTTCACCTACCATGACTCGTTGTTGCCTCCCTGTCAGGTATTCCCTGATCCATTGCAGTGCCCTCCCTGTTATATGCACCCGATCCTCCAGCTTCTGCACTAATCTCTTGTGGGGAACTGCGTCAAAGGCCTTCCTGCAGTCTAGGAAAATGCAATTCAACCCACTTCTTACTTCTGTTACCTTAACATAAAACTCCAGAAGGTTCGTGACACAGGATTTGCCTTCCATGAACTCATGCTGGTTTTCATTTATAATCTTGTTCCGTTCCAGGTGTTCCACCACTCTCCTCCTGATAACCTTCTCCATGACTTTGCACACAATACATGTCAGAGACACAGGTCTGTAGTTTAGTGCCTCATTTCTGTTTACTTTCTTAAATATGGGGACTACATTTGCTGTCTTCCATTTCCCAGGTAGTTGCCCAGTTTCAAGGGATGTGTTGAAGATTGTGGTTAGGGGCACGCACAGCATCTCTGCTCCTTCTCTAAGGACCCATGGGGAGATGTTGTCGGGTTCCATCGCCTTTGAGGTATCAAGGTCACTTAGCAGCTTCTGCACCTCCTCCTCGGTTGTTCGTATGTCATCCATATACCTGTTGGTTAGTTTCCTTGATGTGTGTGTGGTGTTGTGTGTGTGTGTGTTGTGTATGTTGTGTGTGTGTGTGTGTGTGTGTGTGTGTGTGTTGTGTGTGTGTGGTGTGGTGTGTGTATTCAGTGACGACAAATTTCAATTACTCCGCTATGGAAAACTCGAGGAAATAAAAAGTGGATAGGAGTATAAAACAAATTCCAACTCAAAAGAGCGAAAAACTAATGTGAAGGACCTGGGAATGATAATGTTAGAGAATCTCACTCTCAATGACCACAGCATTGTTTCTACCACATCTGTTAGGAAAATTATATATAGGATACATAATGAGAACCTTCAAAACTAGGGACGCCAAGCCAATGATGATTCTCTTCAAATCGCTTGTTCTCTCTAGGCTGGAATATTGTTGTACACCAACTGCCCCTTTCGAGGCAGGAGAAACTGTAGACATGGAGAATATAGAGAACTTTCCCTGCATGCGTAAGTACATTAAAACACCTAAATTACTGGGAACGGGTGAAGTCCCTCGACCTGTACTCCTTAGAATGCAGGCGATAAAGATATACGATAATATACACTTGGAAATTCCTAGAGGGACTAGTCCTAAATCTCCACGCGGAAGTCACTCCCTACGAAAACAAAAGACTCAGCAGGCGATGCAACATCCCTCCAATGAAAAGCAGGAGTGCCACGAGTATACTAAGAGACAACACAGTAAGTGTCAGAGGCCCAAGACTGTTTAACTGCCTCCCAGCATACACAAGGGGGATTACCAATAGACTCCTGGCTGTCTTCAAGAGGAAGCTGGACAGGCACCTAAAGTCACTACCTGACCTGCCGGGCTATGGTTCGTACGCCGGTTTGCGTGTGGCCAGCAGTAACAGCTTGGTTGATCAGGCTCTGATTCACCCGGTCATGGACCAGGCCGCGGGGGCATTGACCCCCGGAACACCCTTCAGGTGTGTGTCAGTGTATGTGTGCATTTGTGTGTGTTTGTGCTCACCTATGTGTGATTGCATGGGTCGCAACACATATCTTGGTTCCGTGTGTGTACTCACCTACTCACCTATTTGTGGTTGCATGGGTCGAGTCTTAGCTCCTGGCCCCGCCTCTTCACTGGTTGTTACTGGGTCCTCTCTCTCCCTCCTCCATGAGTTTGATCAAACATCGTCTTAAAACTATGTATGCTTACCAAACAAAGCAAATGTGATAGTAATTATGGACAAAGTAGATTATAGTGGAAAAATGAACATGTAATTAGAAGACGGAAGAACTTACGTGCCCCCTAAGTCGAAGAAAAGGAGCCGAGGCTAAACCCGACCGCAAGTCTATGTGGAGTGTGTACACAGTAGTGTCAGTGTTACTGAAGACCCTTGTGTGTGCGGCCCGTTGGTTAGCACCGGTGCGTGTAGCACAGCCGGGGGTGGCCCTGTTTAGCCCCCGGGGGTGCGTTGGGGTTTGCACAGCCTTGTGCGTGTTTGCGTGTTTTAAGGACACACAAATAAAGGGGTGGTCGCCCCTGGTTGGTTTTAATATTTGACTAACCTCCAGGTGGAAGAGACATACTCGCAGATAAACACAAGAATCATAGTTTAGCATCGATGGACACGATAGCTCAGAATCTATCAATAACAACGCTTGTATTTCTTTTCTAATAAAATAAGAGTGAGTGTGTGCCGGCAGAGTGTTCGAGGGCGTGAACGTGACGCGGGTCAACTACACTGGTACCGTGGTCTTCCTGGAGGAGGATCACTATCTGCTACCAGACCTCCTGCATGTGCTGCGCCTCCTGCAGCAGCACAGAGCCTCCTCCTGCTCCAGCTGCCAGGTCCTCACACTCGGCAACTACAATAAGCTGGGCCTTAGCGTTTACAGGAATTTTGTGAGTCTTTCTCTCTTTTCTGTAATGCTGTGTAGCCCTTGTGGTTTAGCGCTTCTTTTTGATTATAATAATCCTTTCTATAACACTTTTCAACATTTACAGTATTTTTTTTTGTATTTATTCTTGACAGTACAGTACCCAGAATAGTATATAGGATAATACCCAGGATAGTACCCAGGATAGTACCCAGGATAGTACCCAGGATAGTACCCAGGATAATACCCAGGATAGTACCCAGGATAGTACCCAGGATAGTACCCAGGATAGTACCCAGGATAGCACCCAGGATAGTACCCAGGATAGTACCAGGGATAGTACCCAGGATAGCACCCAGGATAGTACCCAGGATAGTACCCAGGATAGCACACAGGATAGTACACAGGGTAGCACCCAGGATATTACCCAGGATAGTACCCAGGATAGTACCCAGGATAGTACCCAGGATAGTACCCAGGATAGTACCTAGGATAGCACCCAGGATAGTACTCAGGATAGCACCCAGGATAGTACCCAGGATAGTACCCAGGATAGTACCCAGGATAGCACCCAGGATAGCACCCAGGATAGCAACCAGGATAGTACACAGGATAGCACCCAGGATAGTACCCAGGATAGTACCAGATAGTACCCAGATAGTACCCAGGATAGTACCCAGGTTAGTACCCAGGATAGCACCCAGGATAGTACACAGGATACTACCCAGGATAGTACCCAGGATAGTACCCAGGATAGCACCCAGGATAGTACCCAGGATAGTACCAAGGATAGCACCCAGGATAGTACCCAGGATAGTACCCAGGATAGTACCGAGGATAGCACCCAGGATAGTACCCAGGATAGTACCCAGGATAGTACCCAGGATAGCACCCAGGATAGTACCCAGGAGAGTACCCAGGAGAGTACCCAGGATAGTACCCAGGATAGTACCTAGGACAGCACCCAGGATAGTACACAGGATAGCACCCAGGATAGTACCCAGGATAGTACCCAGATAGTACCCAGGATAGCACCCAGGATAGTACCCAGGATAGTACACAGGATAGCACCCAGGATAGAACCCAGGATAGTACCGAGATAGTACCCAGGATAGTACCCAGGATAGTACCCAGGATAGCACCCAGGATAGTACACAGGATAGTACCCAGGATAATACCCAGGATAGTACCCAGGATAGTACCCAGGATAGTACCCAGGTTAGCACCCAGGATAGTACCCAGGATAGTACCCAGGATAGTACCCAGGATAGCACCCAGGATAGTACCCAGGATAGTACCCAGGATAGTACCCAGGATAGCACCCAGGATAGTACCCAGGATAGTACCCAGGATAGTACCCAGGATAGTACCCAGGATAGCACCCAGGATAGTACCCAGGACAGTACCCAGGATAGCACCCAGGATAGTACCCAGGATAGTACCCAGGATAGTACCCAGGATAGTACCCAGATAGTACCCAGGATAGTACCCAGGATAGTACCCAGGATAGTACCAAGATAGTACCCAGGATAGTACCCAGGATAGTACCCAGGATAGTACCCAGGATAGCACCCAGAATAGTACCCAGGATAGTACCCAGGATAGTACCCATCATAGCACCCAGGATAGTACCCAGGATAGTACCCAGGATAGTACCCAGATAGTACCCAGGATAGTACCCAGGGTAGTACCCAGGATAGCACCCAGGATAGCACACAGGATAGTGCCCAGGATAGCACCCAGGATAGTACCCAGGATAGTACCCATCATAGCACCCAGGATAGTACCCAGGATAGTACCCAGGATAGTACCCAGGATAGTACCCAGGATAGCACCCAGGATAGCACACAGGATAGTGCCCAGGATAGCACCCAGGATAGTACCCAGGATAGTACCCAGGATAGTACCCAGGATAGTACCCAGATAGTACCCAGGATAGTACCCAGATAGTACCCAGATAGTACCCAGGATAGTACCCAGAATAGTACCCATGATAGTACCCAGGATAGTACCCAGGATAGTACTAGATTATTTTAATTATTTTTGCATATTGGATATCCTATTCTGTATATTGTCCATTGTTATATGATGATATTGTATATTGTTTATGTTGTATAATGTTGTTTGGACCAACAGATAGAGCGAGGAGACTGGTGGGTGACCAAACATAACCTCGGCTTCGCGCTGGACGCGGCCGCCTGGAACACCTTGAGCAAGTGCAAGAAGTTCTTTTGTACCTTTGATGATTACAACTGGGACTGGACGCTCAATAATGTCGTCCAGACGTGTGCCTCACCCAGGATGTCCATGCTGTCTGCCAGACTCACCAGGGTGATGCACGTGGGCAGCTGGTAGGTCAGGGAGGGTGATGCACCTGGTAGGTCAGGGAGGGTGATGCACCTGGTAGGTCAGGGAGGGTGATGCACCTGGTAGGTCAGGGAGGGTGATGCACCTGGTAGGTCAGGGAGGGTGATGCACCTGGTAGGTCAGGGAGGGTGATGCACCTGGTAGGTCAGGGAGGGTGATGCACCTGGTAGGTCAGGGAGGGTGATGCACCTGGTAGGTCAGGGAGGGTGATGCACCTGGTAGGTCAGGGTGGGTGATGCACCTGGTAGGTCAGGGAGGGTGATGCACCTGGTAGGTCAGGGAGGGTGATGCACCTGGTAGGTCAGGGAGGGTGATGCACCTGGTAGGTCAGGAGGGGTGATGCACCTGGTAGGTCAGGGAGGGTGATGCACGTGGTAGGTCAGGGTGGGTGATGCACCTGGTAGGTCAGGGAGGGTGATGCACCTGGTAGGTCAGGGAGGGTGATGCACCTGGTAGGTAAGTGAGGGTGATGCACCTGGTAGGTCAGGGAGGGTGATGCACGTGGTAGGTCAGGGTGGGTGATGCACCTGGTAGGTCAGGGAGGGTGATGCACTGGTAGGTCAAGGAGGGTGATGCACCTGGTAGGTCAGGGAGGGTGATGCACCTGGTAGGTCAGGGAGGGTGATGCACCTGGTAGGTCAGGGTGGGTGATGCACCTGGTAGGTCAGGGAGGGTGATGCACCTGGTAGGTCAGGGAGGGTGATGCACCTGGTAGGTCAGGGTGGGTGATGCACCTGGTAGGTCAGGGAGGGTGATGCACCTGGTAGGTAAGTGAGGGTGATGCAACTGGTAGGTCAGGGAGGGTGATGCCCCTGGTAGGTCAGGGAGGGTGATGCACCTGGTAGGTCAGGGAGGGTGATGCACCTGGTAGGTCAGGGAGGGTGATGCACCTGGTAGGTCAGGGAGGGTGATGCACCTGGTAGGTCAAGGAGGGTGATGCACCTGGTAGCTCAGGAAGGGTGATGCACCTGGTAGGTCAGGAAGATTGATGCAACAGGTAAGTCAGGGAGGGTGATGCAGCAGGTAGGTCAGGGAGGGTGATGCCCCTGGTAGGTCAGGGAGGGTGATGCACCTGGTAGGTCAGGGAGGGTGATGCACCTGGTAGGACAGGGAGGGTGATGCACCTGGTAGGTCAGGGAGGGTGATGCACCTGGTAGGTCAGGGAGGGTGATGCACCTGGTAGGTCAGGGAGGGTGATGCACCTGGTAGGTCAGGGAGGGTGATGCACCTGGTAGGTCAGGGAGGGTGATGCACCTGGTAGGTCAGGGAGGGTGATGCACCTGGTAGGTCAGGGAGGGTGATGCACCTGGTAGGTCAGGGAGGGTGATGCACCTGGTAGGTCAGGGAGGGTGATGCACCTGGTAGGTCAGGGAGGGTGATGCAGCAGGTAGGTCAGGGAGGGTGATGCCCCTGGTAGGTCAGGGAGGGTGATGCACCTGGTAGGTCAGGGAGGGTGATGCACCTGGTAGGTCAGGGAGGGTGATGCACCTGGTAGGTCAGGGAGGGTGATGCACCTGGTAGGTCAGGGAGGGTGATGCACCTGGTAGGTCAGGGAGGGTGATGCACCTGGTAGGTCAGGAAGGGTGATGCACCTGGTAGGTCAGGGAGGGTGATGCACCTGATAGGTCAGGGAGGGTGATGCACCTGGTAGGTCAGGGAGGGTGATGCACCTGGTAGGTCAGGGAGGGTGATGCACCTGGTAGGTCAGGGAGGGTGATGCACCTGGTAGGTCAGGGAGGGTGATGCACCTGGTAGGTCAGGAAGGGTGATGCACCTGGTAGGTCAGGGAGGGTGATGCACCTGGTAGGTCAGGGAGGGTGATGCACCTGGTAGGTCAGGGAGGGTGATGCACCTGGTAGGTCAGGGAGGGTGATTCACCTGGTAGGTCAGGGAGGGTGATGCACCTGGTAGGTCAGGGAGGGTGATGCACCTGGTAGGTCAGGGTGGGTGATGCACCTGGTAGGTCAGGGAGGGTGATGCACCTGGTAGGTCAGGGAGGGTGATGCACCTGGTAGGTCAGGGAGGGTGATGCACCTGGTAGGTCAGGGAGGGTGATGCACCTGGTTGGTCAGGGAGGGTGATGCACCTGGTAGGTCAGGGAGGGTGATGCACCTGGTAGGTCAGGGAGGGTGATGCACCTGGTAGGTCAGGGAGGGTGATGCACCTGGTAGGTCAGGGAGGGTGATGCACCTGGTAGGTCAGGAAGGGTGATGCACCTGGTAGGTCAGGGAGGGTGATGCACCTGGTAGGTCAGGGAGGGTGATGCACCTGGTAGGTCAGGAAGGGTGATGCACCTGGTAGGTCAGGGAGGGTGATGCACCTGGTAGGTCAGGGTGGGTGATGCACCTGGTAGGTCAGGGAGGGTGATGCACCTGGTAGGTCAGGAAGGGTGATGCACCTGGTAGGTCAGGGAGGGTGATGCACCTGGTAGGTCAGGGAGGGTGATGCACCTGGTAGGTCAGGGTGGGTGATGCACCTGGTAGGTCAGGAAGGGTGATGCACCTGGTAGGTCAGGGAGGGTGATGCACCTGGTAGGTCAGGGAGGGTGATGCACCTGGTAGGTCAGGAAGGGTGATGCACCTGGTAGGTCAGGGAGGGTGATGCACCTGGTAGGTCAGGGAGGGTGATGCACCTGGTAGGTCAGGGAGGGTGATGCACCTGGTAGGTCAGGGAGGGTGATGCACCTGGTAGGTCAGGAAGGGTGATGCACCTGGTAGGTCAGGAAGGGTGATGCACCTGGTAGGTCAGGGAGGGTGATGCACCTGGTAGGTCAGGGAGGGTGATGCACCTGGTAGGTCAGGGAGGGTGATGCACCTGGTAGGTCAGGAAGGGTGATGCACCTGGTAGGTCAGGGAGGGTGATGCACCTGGTAGGTCAGGAAGGGTGATGCACCTGGTAGGTCAGGGAGGGTGATGCACCTGGTAGGTCAGGGAGGGTGATGCACCTGGTAGGTCAGGGAGGGTGATGCACCTGGTAGGTCAGGGAGGGTGATGCACCTGGTAGGTCAGGGAGGGTGATGCACCTGGTAGGTCAGGGAGGGTGATGCACCTGGTAGGTCAGGGAGGGTGATGCACCTGGTAGGTCAGGGAGGGTGATGCACCTGGTAGGTCATGGAGGGTGATGCACCTGGTAGGTCAGGGAGGGTGATGCACCTGGTAGGTCAGGGAGGGTAATGCACCTGGTAGGTCAGGAAGGGTGATGCACCTGGTTATAGGGAGTAACTTAGACAGGTGTGTGTGTGCGAGGAGACACAAGTGTGTTGGAAAAGTTTTATACAAATAGTGTTCTTGTGTGTTCATGTGTTTGTCCACACTGCTGGAAAGATGGCGAGGGACGACATGCAAATACGGTCATATACATTCTCCTGAACTGTAATAGGTACTCGTGGTTTGGTTGGTAGCGTCCTTCGCTTACACACTGAGGGACTCGGATTAATTCCCGGCACGGGGATTAATCCGAATCAGTCAGAAAGTTTTTTTTTTTTCAAGAAATATTGAACAAGAACTTTGTGTGTGTGTGTGTGTGTGTGTGTGTGTGTGTGTGTGTGTGTGTGTGTGTGTGTGTGTGTGTGTGTGTGTGTGTGTGTGTGTGTGTGTGTGTGGGTGTGTGTGTGTGTGTGTGTGTGTGTATGTGTGTGTGTGTGTGTGTGTGTGTGTGTGTGTGTGTGTGTGTGTGTGTGTGTGTGTGTTGTGTGTGTGTGTGTGTGTTATGTGTGTGTATTGTGTGTGTACTCACCTAATTGTACTCACCTAATTGTGGTTGCAGGGGTCGATACTCAGCTCCTGGCCCGCCTCTTCACTGATCGCTACTGGATCCTCTCTCTCTCTGCTTCCTGAGCTTTGTCATACCTCATCTTAAAACTATGTATGGTTCCTGCCCTCCACTACTTCACTTGCTAGGCTATTCCATTGCTGACAACTCTATGACTGAAGAAATACTTCCTAACGTCCCTGTGACTCGTCTGAGTCTTCAGCTTCCAGTTGTGACCCTTGTCCCTGTGTGTGTGTGTGGTGTGTGTGTGTGTGTATGTATGTGTGTGTGTGTGTGTGTGTGTGTTTGTGTGTGTGTGTGTGTGTGTGTATGTGTGTGTGTGTACTCACCTAATTGTACTCACTTAATTGTGATTGCAGGGATCGAGTCACCTCCTGGCCCCGCCTCTTCACTGGTCCCTGCTCCATGAGCTTTATCGTATCTCTTCTTAAAGCAATGTGTGGATCCTGCCTCCACTACATCGCTCTCCAGACTATTCCACTTCCTGACAACTCTGTGACTGAAGAAGCACATCCAGACATTCTTATTACTCATCTGAGTTTTCAACCTTGTTGTGTCACGTCTCTGAAACATTCTGTCCTTATCCATCTCGTCAATTCCTCTCAGAATTTTACAGGTTATTATCATGTTATCCCCCCCCCCATCCCTCCTGTCCTCCAGTGTTGTCAGGTTGAGTTCCCTGAACCTCTCTTCGTAGGACAAACTCCTCAGTTCCGAGACTAATCTTGATGCAAACCTTTACACTTTCTCTAATTTCTTGACGTGTTTGACCAGGTGTGAATTCTATACTGGTGCTGCATACTCCAATATTGGCCTGACGTACACGGTGTACAGTGTCGTGAATGACTTCTTACTTAGATGTCGAAATGCTCTTCTCAGGTTTGCCAGGCGCCCGCATGCTGCAGCAGTTATTTGGTTGATATGCGCCTCAGGAGATATGCTCGGTATGATGCTCACCCCAAGATCCTTTTCCATGAGTGAGTTTTGCAGCTTCTGACTTCTTAGCTTGTACTCCGTAGAGTCCTTGCATTGCATAGAGTTGTTTCTTTTTCAGGGTGTCAAGGAGTACATTTAAGGCAATAATATCTTGTTGTACGTGTAAATCTGCCATTTTAACTCTGTCTGTCCTCCTGGTGCCCGTAATAAAGCGAAGAGCTCTAATCTGGACCCGTTGCAACCGTAGCATGTTGGTCTTTGTTGTTAACGACATTGGGACACATGGGTATTCGAGTATAGGTCTTATTATCATTTTATACAGATGTTTTTTGACATGTGGAGGAGCTTGATTAAATCTAAAGAGACTGCTAAGACCGGCTTTGGCTATGTTGATCTTTTTATTTACATGAGATGTTGAGTGGAGCAGCCTGTCTATTTCATATCCCAAGATCTTGTTAGGGTTCCTAATGGCTACAGGTGTACCTCTGATGGAGATACCCTCTTATCTTCGATGGTTGATGCAAAACATCCTATCGTGCTAACAAGGACTCTGTCAGGGTTAGTCGTAATTCTCCATTTCTTTTCCCAATTAGATGTTCGACGAAGTTCAATATTAATTTTTTCTATGACTCTCTCATACTTGTATTTTCCTGTTACCGGAGTTGATGAGATGACATGGATAACATCATCTGCAAATTGCGTTATAATTGTATCATTAAACTCTGGTTGAGGAAGGTCATTCACATAAATGTTGAATAGAACTGAACTAAGACAAGAACCTTGTGGGACACCAGCTGTTGGTATAAAAGGCTCTGTCGACCTGCCGATGAAAGTGGGAATGTTTTTTCTTTGAGTTAAGAAATTATATAAAATCTGAGAAAAGTCCCAGTTTATGGTCTTGCTGGTAGTCAAATGAGTTTGTATATAAGACCATCATGCATTAAGATATCAAAAGCTTCATGAACATCTCTGTGGCAATTAGGCAAAGATTGCCTGATGTTTTAGACTGCTACAGTAACGAAAAATAATATTTATTGCATGATGGTACCTCTATGTGTTCTAAAGCCAAATTGTTTTCAGTAAAAAGGGATTAACTCCAAATAGTAGTTCAGTCTTTGGAATGATCTTCTCAAGAACTTTTCCAGTGACTTCAGATAAAGATATAGGTCTATAGTTCCCTGGTTGGTGATGTCATTATTGGGCTTTAGCAAGAAGATCATCCAAGCAGTCTTATAAAACAACTGGACAATGTCCTGAGGCCAAGATGGCATTAAAGAATATTAACCAAAGACTGTTTACATTTCGGGAGAACTTTATTTGTTCATTTTTATTCCAGAAGACCAGGGGCTCATTTCGCATTCTTCCAATAACTGACTCATTTCGAGTAATGTAATAGTTCTATAAAGCGGGTGGGCGTCTTCAAAGAGTTGAAGTATCGATGGAAGGAAGTGGTTGTAGATCACTAAGTTCTCATCTCTCCATTCATTTACCACTGATAGTGAATATTGTTAAAAATCGACACTGTTACTGTGGGAGAGAATTTTCTCCCATACATCACCCATCAAATTAGCCTGGTCCTGTGATCATCAAGTTTCATTCTCAACATCATCATCCTCATCAGTGAAGGTAATGAATTAGGTAATTAGAGCCTTGTGCGTTGCCCCTAAAAGTTTGTCGGATCTTACTCCAAAAATTTTTGCTGGCTCACGTTTTGTACTGATTAGCTTGAAGAACTAGCAGTTTCCATAAGTCACGTTTGTGATGCCAATCATGTTAATTAATTCTGCCTCAATCTGTGCAATGTAGCTACAGGTGGTTTGTAACGTTTGAAGATGCCTTCGTCATTCTGTTTGATAATTTCTCAAAGCATCTCTAATTTCCCTCGTTGTACATATTGTTGGAGATCTTTGTGGAAGCTAATTGACAGTTGCATTAGCAGCAACAATTATTCGATTGTGAAGGGACCTGATCGCGTCGTCAGTTGGCAGTGGAAGGTGATTTTTTTCGCAATGACAAGAAATTTCCTCGCACCCAGAAATGCCCTGAAGGGGTCAAATCCTAGGTGTTGAGATTGGGTTTAAGGAGTACAGGTATTCTAAATGGAGAAGTTTGTAGTTGTATTAAAACAGGGATAGATCAGATCCTACGTATCCACCCGAGCGATACGACAATGAAAGAGGTCACAGTCTCTGTTTTTGTCAGGACTATATCTAGTGTCCCTGATGAGGACCAATAGACGATTTAAAGAATGGCCTTGAAATGACAAGTTTCTGGCTGTCATGATATTAAATAGTTGTTTTCCTTTCAGTCACCCCAGTGGATTACCAGCTCCACAGTTGAAGAGGGCAGGTGATGAGCATTAAAATCCCTGCTAGAATTGTTGGAATATTTCTGCTTAATATCCTATGTAGAGGAAATGACTATATATTGTTGTCTCGGGGGAAAATATCCAGTTCCTGTCACTAGTTGGCCATGAGACATCGTCATTTCTATTGCTAGAATGTTATCTTCATCAACATGAATATTTTTAAATGCATAGCCGAATTTAACTAAGATGGCTACGCCACTATAGGGTCCTCTCGATTTCTCCACAGTAGAGTAACCACGTAATTTAATATGTTGATCAACTCTTGCAGCTGTCTCATTCAGGAGTATAACATCGGGATTGTAATTATGTAGTTCAACTTCAAGGAGGTAACGGTTATTAAAGAAATGTTTGATACAATGTTATGATCCTTGAAGGTGAGATCCTCGGACATGATCACTCCCAGGTCAACACAATATCAGTCCTGTCCATTATCAAAATATTAAGTGGTCTACACAACACGAGCGCGGCACGTAAGATTATTCATTACATACGTAACTGCCGTGTTGTTGACCAGTCTACCTGGAGTTTCATTACTCACTAACTAGTTCTTCTATAATAACTTTGGGGACCAGTCCCTGGACCCATTATGTATTTCTGTAATCTTTTGAGACTACCGCCCACAGGAGGGTATGGGGGGCATAGATAAACATATTGGAACATTAAAAATGGTATAAAATACCGAAGATTGCTAGTAAGGACACATATGCAACAGTTAGGTATCTTAATCCGAAACGTTTTCGCCTCACTGTAGGCGTCTTCAGTCGAGTACATAAAAGTTAAAGAAGCAGAAGATACTTGACGACGATGTACTCAGTCCATCACCCTTAAATTTTGAGGTGGTCAGTCCACAGTCTGGAGAATAGCATTGTCCTTGTTCTGAAACAATGTTGTTTCAGACAACGAACAATGCTCTTTCTCCAGCTGAGGGACTGACCACCTAAAACTTTGAAGGGTGATGGACTGATTACATCGTCTTCAGGTATCTCTGCTCTATCAACTTTTCTGTACTCGACTGAAGAAGCCTAACTGTGTAGCGAAACGTTTCGGAATAAAGATACCTAAACTGTTGCATATGTGCCTTACTCTTGCAACAGCGCATCTGCATAACCCATATAAACTAAAAATCTAAAAATATCAAAATCAATGATTTTTTTTTTCCCTATATAGGCCTATTTGTAACTCTGTATAAAATCATATAAGGATATATAGAAATGAATTTTTTTTTTTTTTTTTTTTTTTTTTTTTTTTTTTTTTTTTTTTTTTTTTTTTTTTTTACACAGGGATTGACAAGGTTAAGATCCCAGCTTTATGACAAGCTATTTACAGGTTAAGGATTCCTAACTTTATTGGCCCCAAAGCTAAGGGCTGTTACCCTACATCAGCTCATTTGAAAGCATTTTTTATTGTGATGAACATACAAGTAGGGAACAGGTATGAAGTTGGAGCCATCTGGGCCAGCATTTTCAGTTGATCAACTGGCTTGTTAATCTCGCGACATCATTATGCTGTAGCGAATGGTGTTCCATACTCAGTCAATCCTGGTATATATGAGTGATGTTTCTGGAGAAGGGTACAGCCAGAGTGAAGTTGTGCTTTCTCTGCCCGTATTGTGGCATAAAAGGCTGTTTCACGCTGTCCTGAAGTGGATCCAAGTGTGGTACTTTTGACAATTTGGCTCCTTGTACATAACAGTAAGATTCCTTCTCTTATTTGCTGAAGCAGCACTGATTTGGGCATTATGCCACTTCTTTAAGAGGCTCTATGGTGTCAATCACGTGGCGGCTTTTATGGTGTCACCCGGGCGTCCTATTCCCCCTTACGACGTCACTGTCTGAAGTTTATTGATAAATCTTGGATGGTATGAGACTTGTAGTGACAGATGGTCGGCTCCGGTATCACCCCCGTCGTGCAGTATAATTCAGGTTCCCCAGCAAACTTAACCTGGGTTTTTTTATACTTTGTCAGATTTCCATTTTCTGAAGGCTTAAATTGCAGAATTCCTAAAACTCATGTAAAAAATATATCGTTTTCCTTTCTATATTATTATAAACAAAAAACAGTATTCCTTTATGTAAAAAACTTTATTGACCATATAAGGCAGGTTTGATGCAATGCTTATTACATAACAAAACATATATTTTAAAAGTTCAATTAAGTGTTTAATTATTATGTACAAAACAACCAAACAATTTGAGAAAACCTCTCTTAATACGTGTTTTAAGAGGAATCCTCTGGTAAAACCCTTTTAACTACATCACCGTAAGAACATGTCTCTCGGGAAAATTTTTTTGCCGTTGTTTTGTAAAATTTTATTACCTTCAGTTTCTTTAACACTGGGAGTCCAATGATATAGGATGCATAAATTTTTTTACAACTTCAAAATCAACATTTTTTATCTCTGAATCTATTTTAAAATTTAACATTTAGAGCTAAATGTGTAACCGGTGAACAAAACCATATACAGTATTATGGATAATGGACGTCGTAGTTTAGTTAATTTTAGGCCGAATTTGAGGGCCATTTCCCTCTGTTTTTATTGACATAGGACTTCCTGTGTCCAAATGGCATATTGCAGCTTGGCCCCGTCTCCAGCTCTTGGAACATGTGCCCAGGAGTAAAATGTCTTGAATAATAGTTTTACGAGCTACAAGCTGTGGCTCATCATACATAAATTCCAGGGAACATTGATGGCCAACCAAGAAGTCCATGCCTAGAAGACCAAAATTCAAATTACCATCTATTATGTTTACAGGGAGGTCTATTCCATATCCCTTTAAAACGTAAAACAATCCTACAGGTTTTCAATTGTCCCGTAACTCTTTTTTTCTTGATTTCACAACCATTCAGAATGATCTTGAGACTAAAGAGTTTGGAGAACCGGTATCGATGATAAAATATACATCTTGGGTACCACTCCTTGCAGTGAAGCCAACATAATTTGCCCACTGGTAATCCAACTTTATGATCCGCATTTTGGTGGATGTCTTCGAAGATCCGGGGAATACTTTAAATATTATCGCTGGGAAGTCAACCCTTTTCACATCCAAGTGAGAGATGTGGGTCCTCACCAGAGACTGCTCACTTAAAGTAGTTACCCTAGATCCGACGAATACTTAAGTATTATCGCTGGAAGTTCAACCTTTGTATATCCAAGACGAGAGATGTGAGGTTCTCGCCAGAGACTGCTCACTTAAAAATAGTTACCCTAGAATCCTATAAATTACTGAAGTAATATACTCTTCTTAGATCCGACGAATACTTAAGTATTATCGCTGGAAGTACCTTTGCACATCCAAGATGAGAGATGTGAGGTTCTCGCCAGAGACTGCTCACTTAAAAATAGTTACCCTAGAGTCCTATAAGTTACTGAAGTAATATAGTCTTCTTAGAAACATATTAGTTGTGGTAGAATCCTGTAAATTACTGAATTAATAACGAGTAGT